CACTCCGGTCTGGGCGACAGAGTGAGACTCCACCTCAAAAAAAAAAAAAAAAGAAAAGGAATATGGGGGTGGGACAAGGAGGTGGGTCCCTTTTTAGTATCAGCAAAAACTTTTTTGTTATTACCATCTGAGGATTTCAGGGAAGATTATTTCATATATATATGTATATTTTTATATATATATATATGTATATATATATATTTGTTTTGTTTTTGAGTCAGAGTCTTACTCTGCCACCCAGACTGGAGTGCAGTGGCACAGTCATAGCTCAAGCTCCTGGGCTCAGGCAATCCTTCCACTTCAATCTCCCAGGTAGCTGGGGCCACAGGTACACACCACCACACCCAGCCAATTTTTTTTATTTTTTGTAGAGACAAGAACTCACTATATTGGCTAGGTTGATCTCGAACTCCTGGGCTCAAGCAATCCTCCTGTCTCAGCTGAGATTACAGGCATGAGCCACCATGCTCAATCTTCCCTTAGTGCTGAGATTACAGGCATGAGCCACCATGCTCAATTTTCATTTATTTTTACTTCTAAACTGATAATGTGTTTGAATCAAAATTCAAAAAGGAGACTAGACATGATGATTAAATGCAATATGTGACCAGGGTTGGATTCCAGAACAGAGAAGGGGCATTAGTAGCAAACTAGTTTGATGAAATCCAAATAAAGTCTAGAGTTTCATGAATAGTAACATATCACTGTGGGTTTCTTAGCTTTGACAAATGTCCCAGGATGATCCAAGATGATAACATTTGAGGAGATGAAACCCGAGAGGGGTATATAGGGATATTCTGATTTATCTTTGTAGCTTTTCTGTAAATCTAAAATTATTCCAAAGTAAAAGGTTTATTTTAAAAAAATTTTTTTTTTCCATTCTCCTGAAAATTTGTTTCCCATCCTCTTATTAAAAATTTTTTTAAAGCTATAAAAAGGAAGCCTGTCATCATATGTGTCTGTGTGTGTGCATACACACAAACATTTATTTTAAACAAAATAAGCCAGGCTCGGTGGCTCAGCTTGTAATCCCGCGCCTTTGGGAGGCTGAGAATGGATTGCCTGAGTCCGCGGGTTCGAGACCCACCTGGGCAACTTGGAGAGACCTCATCTCTACAATAAATCAAAAAATTAGCCAGGCGTGGTAGCGCACGCCTGTAGTTCCAGCTACTTGAAAGGCTGAGGCGGAAGGATCGCCGGAGCCCAGCAGGTCGAGGCTGCAGTGGCCGGGAACGGCCACTGCACTCCAGTCTGGGCAACAGAGTGAGACTCTAACTCAAAATAAAAAATAAATAAATAAAATAAAATAAGTTATAGCATATTTTACCCACACTGCTCTCTGCACCTTGCCTTTTATTTATTTATTTTTTTTTGAAGACTGAGGTTCTTGTTCTGTCACCCAGGCTAGAGTACAGTGGTGTGATCACTGCAGCCTTGAACTCCTGGGCTCAAGTGATCTTCCTGCCTCAACCTCCCAAATAGCTAGGACCACAGGCATGCTGCACCACACCCAGCGACTTATTGTAATTTTGTAGAGACAAGATCTCACTATGTTGCCCAGGCTGATCTTGAACTCCTGGCCTCAAGCGATCTTCTCACCTTGGTCTTACACCTTGCCTTCTTAACCTGAAACTCTGTCTTAGAGATTGCTCCATACCCTATTGTTTAGCTGCAAAACAAGTCATTTCATAGATAGACCACAATTTGTTTAACCATTCTTCTATTGATAGGGATTTAGTAGCTTGTAATCTTTAGATATTGCGAATATGGCCGACATAAATGATCCAAAATTGGGAGATCAGTTGCACCTATCTGGGCCTGTCATGATTAAATAGGTTAACTCAAGTAAAGCATTCATAACTATGCCTGGCATGTGGTCACGGCTCAGTAAATATCAGCTACAATGGGCACGCATTGCATTTCACAAATGCAAGAGCTCTTAGTAGGATAAATTCCTAGTGGTGGAATTATTGGGTCAGAGGGTACCCAGTTTTGACTGATATTGCTAAATCGCCCTCCGTAAAGAGTGTATCCACTTACGCTCCCAGTGCTGAGTGTGGCATGGCCTCCTGCTCCCTCCCTCACCAACACACAGTGTTATCAAGCCTCTTTTGAGCTTTGCCAATCTGACAGGTGACAAACGCTATCTTAGCGCAGTTTTAATTTGCATTTCCCTAATTATGAGCGTGGCTGAGCATCTTTTCATATGCTTCAGAGCCATCTGTATTTCCTTCTCGGTAGCGGGGATTATTAGAACATGATGTCAAGGTGAAAGTCTGGCAGTGTCTCTAAGTCTGTTTGTCTCTCTTCCAGTCTTCTCCTGGTATCCCTCGCCCATTAGACCTGTGTCCACCCACCTTTGCACTTACCCACCTACTCCTCCACCTGGCCACCATCCACCCTTCCAGGCATCCGTTTCCTTTTTATCATACCAAATGAATGGAATCTGACATTTCTATGATGTGGACGGAATGGTTGGATGGATGTGGCTAGGCCCACTAACCCTATCCACATCTGAATTAGAAATTCTTGGAGGGGGATCAGACAAGACAGCATTGTCCCAGATCTAGGCGTAACAGCCACACCTGGTGCTGGTTGAAGACCACAAACATAACCAGACCAAGCACACATCTCATTCTCACTCTGCCACCATGAGCTGGCCTGGAAGGACAGAATTGACTTGCACAGAGATGGCTTGCAAACTCCTAAATGCATGATGAACAAATGAATGAATGACTTAGCTGCAGTGTTGCTTCCTTGATAAATACTTCCCTGGCTCTGCGTTCCCAGACTAGTTGTGTTCCCAGCTCTGTGGTCTCACAGATCCCTGTGTTTTTCCTTTATAGCACTCATTCCAGTTATTAGCTAGATAGTTCACAGGGTAACTGATTGGGCATGGTCTGTCTCCCCTCTGCCAGGTTGCAAGCAACTTGAGAGCGGAGACCATGTCTGTCTTGTTTAGCAGCAGAGCTGTCGTACTGACTCACTAAATATTGGATGGATGGGTGGATGGATGGATGAATAGGATGTAAGTGGATGGATGGATGGATGGATGGATGGATGGATGGATGGATGGATGGATGGATGGAAGAAGATCCCACTAGGCTAAAGCAACAAGGAAGAATCATAAAATCAAGGTCAGTATGTCACTCCCATCCCACCCCTACTCCTAAGCTAGGGCCTGGGAAGCAAATTATCAGTAGAGTCAAGCAAACACTGAGCATGTCCTGAGGTTAGAGCTCTCTACTAAGACAGAGCACACTTGCCCAGCTAGGTACTCCACCAGTATTTACGATGTGCCTTCTGCCAGGCTACTGGGCTCAGGGGAAGGGCCTTTGGAACATACAGTGAGAAGTTTGGTTTATTTAAAGGAGTCCTTTGCCAAAGAAGAGTGAGAGTGCATTTAGAGAACAAACTGTCCTCCGATGCTTGGTCACTATGTTTTTGCGTGTTATAAGATATGAAGGAATGAGGGCACAAGAGGGTGACTCCTGTCGATTTTGTGCTCTCCAGGCTGCATGTGTTCCCACCCTCACAGAAACCTCAGGAGGGAAATGGTAACCTTGTTGGACACAGGGAGACTCAGACTCAGGAAGGTGAAAGGACGGACTTGCCTGAGGTCCCACTGCTCCGATGTCATTGGAGCCTCCAAGGCCATGCCCTTCCCATAGGGCGTGGCCTCTTGCCTTGAGATGTTCCAAAGGCCACATTAAAGGATTAGAGAACTTTCCCAGAAATTCCTGGGTATATGCTGTGCTCTGTCCAGCTGGGCTCTGTGCACATGGCCTCCTCAGAATGAATGAATGAATGGCCAAGCTGGCATCACACTTTCTGATGCCTGCCTCTACCTCTTCCATCCATTCATTTGTGCATCAGCTACTAACCAAGCACTGACAATATCCAAGCACTACCCTATAGCCCTAAGCAATGCATTTCCTTGTGACACTGGCCCTCCGTGTCACCTGTCTCGCAAAAGTGAAAATGCTTGCCCTGGGAAGCTTGCAGGTTTTTAAAAATACTGCCATATGAAATGGCATGTGTGGGTTTTAGAAATCATAGCATGTTAGACCAGTATTTAGTATTGGTGTTTAATTCTAAGTCTGGACATGGCTAGCCCGGTTTGTGAGATCAGAGAGGGTCTGTGGATAGGCACGCACGTGTGTGTGTGTGTGTGTGTGTGTGTGTGTGTGTGTGTGTGTGTGTGTGTGTGTGTGTGAGTATCACCTATCTGATGGTAGCCACATTTTTCCATAATGTCATTTTTCATAATTAAATGTTTCAAGTATCCCTTCCCACGCTCTCCATGTGTAAACACTATCCATAATAAAACATAATGGGCAAGATTTTTTGCTATGGAATCAGACACTTCTAGTGTCAGTTACCAATTGCGGTGTAACAAGTTACCCAAAGACTCAATGGCATAAAGCAACAAACATTTATTATCTCATAGTTTTTATGGGTCAAGAATCCAGACCTGGCTTAGCTGTGTCCTCTGCTTCAGGTTATCCCGAAGGCTGCTGTCAAGATCTCAGCCTGGGCTGTGGTCATCTCCTGGCCCAAATGAGAGAGGAGTGGCTTCCAAGCTCCATCACATGGTTGTTGGTAGTATTCGGTTTCTCATGGGCTTTAGGACTGAAGGCCTCAGTTCCTCACTGGCTGTTTTGACCAGAAGCTACCCCAAGTTGCTTGCCAAGCTGGCTTCATCAGAGCAAACATGTGACAGGCCCAAGAGAGTGCCAGCAAGATGGACATTTCAGTCTTTTGTCACCTCATCTCAGCAGTGACATCCCATCACCTTCACTGTATTCTGTTGGTTGGAAGCAAGTCACTCATTGCTGCCCTTACAAGGGGAGGGGACCACACATGGATATAAATACCAGGAGGAGGGAGTCACTAGGGACCATCATAGAGAACTTCTTAGACCAGGCGTGGTGGCTCACGCCTATAATCACAACAGTTTGAGAGGCCAAGGCAGGAGGATCACTTAAGCCCAGGAGTTCAAGACCAGCCTGGGCAACATAGTGAGACCCTATTTCTACTAAAAATTGAACAAAACAACTGGGCATAGTAGTGGCCTGTTCCTCTAGTCCCAGCTACTTAGAAGACTGAGGGAAGAAGATCCCCTGAACCCAGGAGGTCAAGGTTATAGTGAGTTGTGATAGCACCAATGCACTCCAGCCTGGGTAACAAAGCAAGATACTATCTCTAAGAAGAAAATACAAAAATAAAGGGGTCTTGAGACCAAAACATTTGAGAACTATTGAATTAGAAGTGAGGGCCTCGTTGAAAGTGTGTTGAATGAGTGAGTAAAAAAAAATAATAATAATGCTAAACTGAATGACTATTTCCCATTCACCTAACTCAATTTCACAGCTTTATGTTAACATGAGTTGTGTTGCATTCTTCTACGTATGCATCTCTTTTTTCCATGTAGCATGGTTAAATCTCACTTATTCATTCAACAGACATTTTCTGAGCTTTTGAGCAAGATCAACGCTCAGAATAAAACCCCATCCCTGCCCTCAGAAAACTCTTAATCTAGTGAACAAAGCAGATGAGTTTGCAAATGATTCCAGAAGCGTGAGTGTGATGCTGAGAGAGGCCTTCACATGGAGGAATATGGTAGAAGAGAAGACATGATCAGAGCTTCCATTTGCAGGAGACTGGGTGGTGCGACTGCCTGACTGAGTCTTCTAAAAGAAGCAGGCATGCACCCAGCCATTAAGGATGGAGAAGGGACGTCCCAGGCAGATGTGAAACGCATGTGCAAAGGCTGTGAATGAGCCTTGTGATGAAGATCACGTGGCACTCAAGGCTCCGGGCCCCGCCCTTCAGCCGTGGTGAGAGCCTTCAGGGCTCTGTGTGGACTGCTGTCTTCCTTTCTGCTTTCTCCACACCCTCCTCATTGTAGCCACATTGACTGTCCTTGAGTGCCTCAAATGCCTTCCCATCTCAGGAGCTTTGGACAAGGCTTTTCCTTCAACCTGGAATGTTCTCTCTCCACCCACTCTCTTCACCCAGTTAACTCCAAAATGCCCTTTCAGCCTCAAATCAAGTTACCCCACCTCCAAGAAGCTTTCCTTGATCATTCCCCAGATGTTATTTGTTCCTCTCTTACACACTCCTGTAGCACTGTGAACCGCACTTTCAGAGCGCTGTCTACAATTAGGCACCTACTGTACACTGTGCTGGGTATGAATGGATTTACAAGAAGCATACAGCCTGGTATGGAGAAACATGATAATAAACAGACATAAGATAATAATAACTATTAATATAACAATAGATAACATTTGTAGAGCACTTGCTGTTTGCCAGACATTATTCCAAATGCCTTCTTTTTTATTTTTTTTAACTTTTTTTTTTTTTGAGTTGGAGTCTCACTCTGTCACCCAGACTGGAGTGCAGTGGCTGCCTTCTGCCTCAGCCTTCCGAATAGCCGGAATTACAGGCATGCGCTACCACGTCCGGCTAATTTTTTGATTTATTGTAGAGA